TTATATAATTTTTAGCTTTATTTCTTGTTTATTTAGTTCAATATAAATTTTCAAAAAATGTCCACAATAATATGCTACCTTCTTGTAGATACAAAAGACTCTGAAGAGTTTATCTTAAGAATAAAATAGTCTTAAGATTAAGATGATAATCTAGACATCAAGTATAACTCAATAAAATTAACAAATTTATAAATTTAGAAGATTTAAAATAGAATATCTAAGCAGAAGTGTTAGATATAGCAATTAGTGGGAAATCTTCAGACAAACTCCTTAAATAGGTAATATAGAAAAGTTACACATATAGCCAATTGTATGCTCTTTCTGTAATAATTCACTGAACCATATTTACTATTATTAAATAAAGTTAAAAGACCCAAAAGGTTACCTTAATATCAAAAAAAAAAATTTATCTTAAAAATAAAATAGTCCTAAGATTGAAATAATAATCTAAGCATCTAAGTATAATTTAGTAATATTAACACTAATTGCAAGTTTAGAGAGTTTAAAAAGAAATACCAAAATAGAGATGTTAGGTATAACAATTAGTAGAGAACCTTTGAGCAGACTTCTTAAATAGATAATATAAAAAGTTATATATATAACCAATTATACACTCTCCTGTAGTAGTTTATAAAATCATATTACCAAAAAAGTCATTAATAAAAGTCAAAAGATTAAAGAGTTCATCTTAATACCAAAAAAAAAAATAATAATACAAGTATAATATTTAAATTTTATTATATTGAAATTTAAATATTAAATTTCCACTTGAAGGTTAATAATTTACTTATATTATACTTTATTAAACTTTGTATTTTTTAAAAAAATTCACTTCATATATGGATAAAAACCTTAAATAAGTTTAAATTTTCTTAAGTTATGCAAAAATAGTTAATTATAATTAGTTAAATCTATTATAATTGATCAATTATATGATTACAATATAATTACTATTAGAAATAATCTATATTCACTTTACTCTTAATTTATAAAACTTAAACAAACTTTAAGCATGTCAAAAAAGTTATAAACATCAAAAATATATATTTTTTAACTGAATAATTGTAATTGTTCTATATATCTAACCAATTAATATAAAAAAATATAAAGGTTAAAATTAAAACTAATGTTTTTAACATGATGAAGGTTGTTTTTTATTGGTTGTTTATTTTCTATTGAAAAGTACTGTTACATAATTTTTTATATTATTTTACAATAGAAAATTTAATTTGAATCGAACAAGTCAAGATTTTTTATAATTAAGATTACCTAAAATTTTGCCTGATTGATTTTTAAAAGCATAGCTTTCGTTTAAACGTTTGAGATCAAGTGAGGTTAAATGTTTCATCAATTTTTATCGATTAAAAGTTTCAAACTCACGCAAGCTAGTCGGTTTTACAAAAAATCATAAAAGGGTATCGCAAGATAACGTGAAGTTAATCTTTAGTTTTAACCAATCAAAGCTTGTTATCTTTAAATTGTCGATCATTTTTTTTTAGCCAATCAAAACTAATTTCCATCATGCTGGTGTTCTCTAGCTAAGGCCTAATTCCATCGATTCGCCCATATGTATTAGTGTTATTATGAGTTTTGTCAAAGAACGTGTTCGTGAACTCCAGGGAGACATAGATGCTATATATCAAAGTCAGCAGTTTACAATTACTTCTGCACTTTCTGTTTACGATGCGAAACGCGTAGAAGTTATAACAAGTGCCATTCAAAGCATTGAGTTGGACGAGGGCAATGTACCAAAGTTAACTTTTGTGTTAAAACAGTTAGACGCTGTGGAAAAGATCTTACATCGATCATGGCAAACCACCAAAGATCAAGAATCGGAAAAAAATGAATTCAAAAAAGATATTTCTAATCTAGAGTGGATATTTTTAGCTAAAGTAACCGTAGTGGTATATGCAAACTTATTGGACCATTTATTGTTTTCTACGTTACCATTGTTAAATGAAATTTATTATTGGGAAGAATTGAAAGGAAGTAGACTTTGGGCTTGGAACTACCTATTTCAAAGTTGAGTTTTTGTTATAAATCATTGGGGAGGATGGTAAAGGATATGTAAAAAAAAAAATCTGATTTGTTTTTTTTTTTTTGATTTCTTTTAGCATCACCTATTCGTTTATATTCTTTTTCTAGGGCAATGTTTAATTCCATTCATCAACACTATCAAAATGTTCCAACAACAATTTTATCTTTACGACAATATTTTTCTAGAAATTATATGATCAATCTCTTTCCAAATCATATGCGCATTCATTTATTAAATATTCAACATTTTCAATCTTTTTCGATTTTACCTTTGATTCGTTATGAAATTCGATGTAAGAAACTAAAGCTCAAAGCTATAATGGAGTATAAAGCTGCATGCTTGGGATTGTTAGTTGAAAATGGGTTAAATCTTAAAAGTATCGTTAAAGAAATGAGTAATAAAGATAGAAAAGAACAAGGAATTAGTTTTGATAAATTAATTGGGAATAAATTGATTAAATGCTTGGTTTTGATGGAAAGAGTTTTGAATCAAGCGATAGAGTTTGATATTGAAAGTAGAAATGTACCAAATATAAATATTATTGTTGGTGAGTAGAAATGTTGAGTTTTATCCTTTATACTAAAGGTACTAATTGCTAAAGATACTAATTTAAAAAAAAAAAATGAGCAGATGATACGAAAGATCCACCCAGAGTACCATCTAAATTAGCTTTCTATACTCATCTTCGTTCCATGATTACTAACCATATCCCGCAATATGATGAACATTCAACTCGAATTATTTCGTATTATGGTCGCCCATCAGCCATTACTCGTTGGTGGATGCCTACTGTTATACTATCTGTTGTAACCTTCAAAGTTAGGAAACGGATAAATTGGGTTGGTTAAAATTGTATCAGGTCTGTTTTTTCGTAATATAAACCGAGCCTTGATAATGAACCTCTCTCGTTGGATGGTTTTCGCAATCAGGAAGATTTCCTGAATTGGATTGAAGATATTAAGGTGACCATGGTCAATCTTTGGAATGATTGGATATGGGAACCTGTAAAAGGAATGCTGGATACGATTAGACACAAAGAAAAAAGACTAGCACTTATGGGTAAAGAAAGTCTTAATTCGGATTTAGAGGTGATTTTTGTACCATATTTTTTTTTTTTTTTGAAAATTGTATAGTTTATAACTTTTCATTATATTAATATTTAACTGTCACGTGTAAAGTCTTTGGAACGAATGGTTCTTGACTTCGCTCGTGACCAAAAGCAATTTACTGCCGAAGAAATTAATGAACTTTCTAAACGTATTCGAGATGGTGACTTATCAGTTGTATTGAAAGCTTATGAACAAGAATTAAAGGTAATTTTACGATGGTAACTATGATTTAAAGGTTTAAAATACCTGCATTTATACATTGCTTCCTTTATAGAATCCAGTCAAGTCCACTTTAACAGGCAAGTACTAAAGTAATATTTTATTGATTCTATTGACGTGTTATGTCAAACATAACGAAATGAATGACTAATATATATATTAATTATTATTCTCCAAAATTAGGCAACCTCCTCCGTACGTTGCTTATTCAGGTTCAAAAGACCAAAGTGGATTTAGAACTTTCTATGACAGCATTAGACAAGCTTTTGAAATCTAATGAGTTGAATTTCGCATTTTTGGCCGTTGGACCAAGTATCCTTATCGCCTACTTGCTTTTTAATTGGATTAAAGCAATCTGGTGGAAAAAAGATATATTATTTAGTGGTTTACAAGGAACGAAAATCCAAATGCGAGAATCCTTGCGGTACGATAATTTAGATATCTTATATGTGGTTTTAAAAATGTTTTATGCACAGATTTTCACATCAAATATTTTTACTACATTTAGTCAAGTGGAACGTTTATTTGTTCACAGTTCCTCGTCCTTCACCACACAAGGTCTTGTACTTTGTCATGTTCATCATCTCCGGTCATGTTCCTTATATTTACCAACTAAAAATAATTTACGTAATCGTTTTTTGGAAGACCTCAGAGATCTGGATGATCCTAAGATGTCAGTGCAACAAAGAATTTGGACCTGTGAGCGCATGTGGCGCTGTTGGGCATTCTTGAATATTGGTGAATAATTAGCAAAATTACAATCCTTTTTTTTTTTGTATATCAAGTGTTGTCAATAGAATTTAGTGTGTTCAGGAAAATCCCACCAGAATGATCTAATTGAATGATCTGCGTTTTAAAATCAAATAAATAAGTAAAGGATTTATTAGAGAACCTTCTCTTTATTTATTGTATTGTAATGAAGTAATATTATGAATACGTCACTGCAGAGTCAATCTTGACCAGTCTAGCCAAAGGGTTTATACTGATCAAATTGGTCAAATGGTTAAATTTTGGATATCCGTACGAAAACAATTTTAGAACTTTTTATGCACGATTTTTAGCATTCTAATTGGTTATAAGTCACGTTTTCTGTTAATTCCTATATATTAATCTGATCGTACTGACACGATTTAAAAATTTTGAGAATTTTGAATTGGCAGAACCAAAATTATGTGATGTGGCCTGAATTATGAAACTTGATTTTTTTAATGCTGGTCAGACCCCAAAAAATCGCGTCCTGACTTCCATTATGTCGCGTGAGTGATTCAGATCACATCTCTAAATTTTAACTCGCGTTTTTTTTTTTTTGATTGCCTTTGTTTAAACATTTTTTTTTAAAAAAACTAAATTAAATTAAAAGTTCAAATACTTGTATTTAAGTGCGGTATAAGTATAAGTAGGTAGAATTAACTGGTTTCTCGCGTTTTTTTAACCTTCTTGTGGTAAGCTAGTTGCATTCCAACTCTATAGAAAAACTATATTAACTTTTGATATTAAATTTGCTATTTTATACTTTTCAACATGGTCTAACTTTTAAACTAAAGGGATTTAATGACAAATTTTATTAACCGCAATTAAAGGGTTTTTAATACCTATAAGTATATTGGATCAATGATAAGATACATGCCAGTATGGACATTAAAAGAGATTCGGAAATTTAGACTTGGTACGTTTAAACATCTGAAACTATCATTAGCGATACGGATTGTATCAAAACTATATTAGCAAATTATGAAATTTGATATATTTACAGATTTTTCATGTTATGTAAATTAATAAAGTATTGCATAATCTTATTGAATAAAAATAAAACTACTAAATTAAAATATATATATATTATTTTTAGAAACTATGATCGAGTTATTTTTGATGATCACTATTCCGTATAAGAAAACTGGAAATAATTAAGTTGATAAAATATTATATACACAATTTATTGGGAAAATTTAAAGTAACAAATGAAGAAATAGTACGACAAGCTGTGAACATAAATATTTTTAAGAAATGCATAAGTGATGAGAATCAAAATATGAAAATAAATATTCCAACTTTTGATATCTCAGTAAATTCGAAGGTATTAAGTTTTTTCTAATTTAATATTCATCTAAATTTAAGATTGTCTCTTTATTTAATATATATTTTATTAATAGAACCAGCCATTCTGGTGAATAATTTCCTACGGTGAAAAAGACATAGATATAGTGAAAAACTTTTGCAGGAGTAAATCATTAAATTATGATGATCCTTTGGTTATCGTTATCATACATTGTAAATTGTACCCAACCACACTAAGATCTTCGAATAAAAATGATATTACTTTTGTTTTATATGACTTGAACCTTATGTACTGGTTTATTAGTTCTATTGATGACCGATCGTAACTGACCAAACTCATCCCTAGTTTAAAAGTTTAATAAGAATATTTATTACTAATCTTTTTCTAACAATGTCAAAATTCTAACAAGTTAGCTCGCATTAGGTTAGGATGTTGGGGAAATGATAGAGACTCTGAGTTCACTAGTATTACGACGATTTAAAATGTTCTATTACATTATTAAATGATACATTCTAAATGTTTCAACTCATTATTGAGACATGAAATTACCTTGAAATTTTCACAAGTCTTTTATAAAATAAATTGTATTTAAAAGTTTTTATTAATATGTAAGTTTGTCTTGAAGAATGCTCTAAATTTCATTAGTTAAACATGCAAGTCAAAATTTAATTAGAATTTCGCACAAAAAATCCAACATAATTACTTTGATATAGTACTGGCGAAGTGTTTTTAATCGAAAGAAATTAGTACAATTTTTGTATGAAAACTTTACGCTTTTCTTTATAATTAAAAGGTTTTAAAATCATTTGGAACTCAATATTGTATACTGTATACTTATCGTTATGTACTAATAAAATACATTGTTGTTATTAGAAATGATAGGTTATCGGAATTGAATTATGAAACGGAACGGACATGGTGGTTATGACAAGTTATCAGTTTTGACAAGATCGGTTTTAATCCGAATCACATGTAACTAGCTACCATTTTTACCTATGACCTGTTGGTCATACGTAACAGATAATGAAGGTTGATTTTAATATAATAATATAGTAAAGATCATACCGATACGTAGTAATAGTTAATCCCACTTATCGGAGATTCGCTAAAGCGGGGTAACAGTAATGCACAAATCGTACGTTATAATTACCATAATTGCATCAAAAAAAAATTTACCCCGCTTTAGCGATCCCAATTTAGGCACCTGGATCAATATTAATTTATACGTACATACGTGCCAGTACGTAGCGGTGAGCTTATGTTAACATTTTATAATTTTGTGTTATTTATTAGTTATCAGGCCCGTCATTTAAATGATGGGTCATACCGATTATAGGTTACATGATAATTATAAGTTACATCTAAATTTTTGGAAGTGTTGCACGCGTGATCACGTGAAAGAGAAATTTTGGTGGTTCGTAACTACAGAACTACAAAATTAGAAAGAAATCCAGTCAAGTCCAGTGACTAGTAAACAACATTATTAAGATTATTGTGAAAGGTTAATGAAATTTATTGTGATAAAAGGTCTAAAATATTTTCAATAATAAAAATTGTTAAAAGTAAAACTATTCTAAAGAGAAATTTTAAAATTTAAAATTTTAATAGATCTAGTTTATAAACAAAGCGTATAATTAATTATGAATAAAATGTATATTATACAAAAAGCAACTTAAAGCATTGTCATTCCAGCGGCTACAATAGCCAAAGCAGAAATTGCAGAACCAATCGAAAAGGACAAAGAGAGTGATGAAGCATCGCTTTTAACAGAACCAGTACTATTAGTACCAGTAGAATTGGTAGGGCCATTGGCAGAACCACCTAAAGTATTATTATTGGTATTATTTTGTGGAGGACCGTAAGACGGGACAGCATTTACGTCGTTAGTGTTATAATAAGATGGTGGTTGATTTGGTGTACCGCATCTGGAAATAGAAAGAGATGGGTTAATGATTTACATGAATTTGAAAGCATTTTTTTTTATAACGATATATGATATATAATAACTCACCTGTTTGTATAATATGAGCGACAATTGTTGATACATGTATTATTAGCTGGTGCGCAAGCACTTTGACAAGCCTGGAATTAATATTCAAGAAATCATTTATTAAATAACGATAATCGAGAAATATTTATAAAAGTAGTAAAAATTAATTGATACTTACTTGACCTTTGCCTTGGCAGTCAGCAAAATTGATGGGCCATTGATAAGCTTTGTAATCGGGTACTTTGTCCGAACAACCACTATATAATTTAAAGATTAGAAAAATGTTGAGTCACATCCAAAATAATATTATATGTCGCGACTGCCAATTTCAGTAAGAATTACGACATGACATATGAGCATGATATATGGACATGATATATGAACTGATATATGGGCATATGAACATGATATATGAAAATTATATATGGACATATGAACATGATATATGAAGGATGAATATAAACCTACCATCCCCAAGCCATGGTGGTTGCATTACAGAAATTCTGAAAAAAATAAAAATAAAAATGTGGTAAATAAATCAGGAACGAATTGGATAGATAAATTTAGAATAAGTTTATTTACCATTAGAGCCTAGTAAAGAGAAAAAAAATTAAATCGTTAACATTTTGAAATGGAATTTGAGCACTGAATCGATCGATCGATTAATGAAACTTACTTTGTCTTTTCCACCACAATTTGTCGTACAATAATCCGTGTTCTGTGCGCAAAGTACAGAACATTCGCCGGGAGATTTTTGGGTAAGCGAATAAGTAAAAGGTGGAAGATCTGATTCTGAAACAGTATTAGGATCAGTGGTAGGAGGAGTAGAAGTTGGTGGTGCAACAGTTTGAGCTAAGTTATAGATATATACAATTAAAATGTAAAGTTAAAAAATTAGAAATTGAGTGAAAATAAAAAATTAATAAATTAATGAAAATATTATATATCTACCCTCAGCGTTGTGAGAAGAAATCAATGCAATAAGTGCAGTGTAAGCGAGTAAATTGAAGAATTTCATTTTGAATGGAATAAATTATTATATTATATTTTTTTTTTATAACAGAATAAATTTGAATATTAACGAATATTATTAATGAATATTAATGAATATTAATGAAAGATTTTTTTGAAGTTGGATAAAGAAAGAAAAAAAGAAAAGTTAGATATCAAAAAAGTAAAAAGTCATGAGGTTTCTTATATAACGAAATGCTATGTTGAACAAAGAGGTGCAGGCAAATTATTCCTTATAATAAATTATGCTCGCCTTTCCAATCATAAGATAATAGATCATATATATATTTGATATATGAATACATTTATAATTAATTTTATGAAAAACTTTTTGGTTAGAAACTTTCTATCTCTGGAAATAAATAATGATAATTGGTTATTGATTGTAATGAAATGCATCTTGACTTTACTAACGTACCAAAAAGGAAAACTGTAATATAAATAAATGATGTGCAAAGATATTCGAAAAACGTAACGTTTAATTATGTTTGTGTGTAAGAATCTCGTGATAAGTTAACATACTTGCTCATACGTATTATATAAGTGTATGAACACATACGTACGTACGTGCAACGCAACGTACGCACATACGTACGTACGCACGCATTTAAATGTGTATCACTTTTGGTTATCTAAATTTGTCACTGTAAAGAAAAAAATTGCTTTTTCTTTATTCAAGGGTTCAGAATATTGATACGTAGTTAATTGAGTAATAAAGATAACGTGTGCGAAATTATATACGTATATATTAAACAATTAACATTATTATATCGATATGGTCATAGGGGTTTACTTGTTTGTGTGCCTGTAATACAACCCCAAAAAGGAAATTGAGTACTTAAATCAATATACAGATATACGTAGCAATAGCGATAGTAACTAAATGTTATTACTCGGCATTATGTTTGATTATCTAGTTCTACGAAATATGTACGCACGTATCATATATTCGAATTTAGAGATCGGATCCTCTGAATATCTTTTCATATCTTTTCATATCTTTTCATATCTTTTCATTTCTATTTGTGAATTTTCACAAGCCTTGATGCAGATATTCGGATTTTTAACTAGAAAAATATCACTACGGATAATCAATGGATTAAATATAGTATCGGTATCCCTACTAATAATAAAACGGATGTCTATAAGTGTATGTTCATTGAATACAATTTCAATGATATAAGGCTTATGTTGTATCCAGATTCTGTTTCTTATTGGCTCTCAAGTGTTCTATCAATAGATCGGAGCGAAGAGTTTAAATTAGTCTGAAATTGAATAAACCAAACAAAAGTGAGTTAACCATTTCAATGAATAGGTGCTGTTCATATAGTTGCTTTGATTGGCAAAGTTTAGGTGCTGCATTTCGCTCAATGAATTTTTAATAAGTCATCCTTCGATTAACCACTAGTTAATCACATAGTAATCGAAATAGTGCTATTATTTTTGTGTTGTTTTTAAAATTCTATAACAATACTAGTTTTACATAAATTATGCCTTATGACATTTAGATAAATGTGAATGATTATATTATTAAGATATAATTGTAATGACACATAATTGTTACATACGATAGATCAAAATACAGTAATCACTACTTGAGTAGATTAAAACTTAGTTCGAGGAAAAAGTTCTTGACCGAATTGATAAATTTTTTTTCATTTTTCCTAAATAAACCACGTGATCTGTACCTTATTCATCTTAGTGACAAGCATTTGCTGTTAATCAAATTTTAATTCTCGACACACTTCCAACATGTCAAGAAATATGTTGCTGCATTGTTACCAGACTCCCAATCCAGATAGCTTGGTAAAACTATAACCAGTTCATTGGTATATTAGGTCAGCCCAATATCCTTTTCCTTCAGTCCATTCTGGCAGCCTGGTTGGTGATACCTTTACTCAAAAGTTCTTGCTCATCCAGTTCCTTTACATTGGTATCTGTTTTATAAGGTTAACTTTTACAGTAATATTATTGAAGATTTGTGTTATTTCTTTGCTTGGATCTTCCTAAATGGATTTCTTGTTTTCTAATTTTAATAAATTTACATAATTACAAGAACTTATTTAGAGTTTGCATTGCTTAATATTGATTTATATTCTTTTATATAACTAGTTATAAAGATATTTTATGATCTGTTAATCATGTTTATGTAATTATTATTACAAATATCTTAATTTAGTTATTAGAAATAATTATTATAATACAAGTATTATATAAAAAATTATTTAAAATTTTATTGTTAATAAGTTTTAAACATCTAACCTATCATTTAAGAAATTATTAACTTATTTACTTTACTAAATCATTATATCCTTAAATAAAATATTTAAAAAAATTATATTTTTATATATTATAAAATTTTTTTTAGTTGATTTAAATTTATTTTAATTATATAATTTTAATTAATTTAATTATTTTTTTTATTTATAAATATTAAATAAAAAAATAATAATATATTAATATATCAATTAAATATAAATATATAACCAAAAAAACTATTTCTAAATTATATTATTATTGTTATATAAATTTAATAATATTAAGTATAATATTATTTTCTTATTTTTTATTATTAGTTAATTCAATTATTATAATTATTAGTTAATTCAATTATTATAATCATTAACTATAAAAAGAGATAAAAAAAATCTTTAAAATTATTTAGTTAATAAAAACAGATTTATTTAGTAAATTTTTTAAAAAAACTTTAAAAATAATAAAATCTATATTAGTATTAAAAATAAAAATAAAATTATTAAAATTAAAAAATTATAAAATAGATAAGCAAATATTATTTTTTTTTAATAGAAATAATAATTTCTTATTTGTTTTCTATTTATATTATTTAATATTTTAATTTTGTCAGATAATAAAATTAAATTAGTTAAATAAAAAATAAAATAAAAAATAAAAAAAATTAGTAATTAGTTTTTTTAAAATAAGTTAAAGTTGTTTATATAAATTAAGAGTTATTATATTCTTTTTTTTTAATATTAAAATAAATATTTGTAAATTAGAATTTTATTAATAATATATTTTAGTTAATAGCTATTATATAATAATCACGAAGGCTATTATAAAAAATATACAACTAGTCACTTATACAACTTTAGTTATTGTTTAATTTAAGTAGTTTACCTAAAGGTTTTATACTAGTTATTATATCTAGAACCTGTCTGTAAGCTTTTTATTTAAATATTCTAAATCTTATATTTATCTTCTTTACTAATAATTTCAATAAACTAATAAAGATATGTTATAATTACTAAGTTATATTTAACTTTGTACTAAACCCATTAGAGCATTTTGTATTTTATTGTTATAGAATGAATTTTATTATTATATTTTAGTATAGTTTCATAATGTATATTTTATTATTATTATTAGTATTAGTTATTATTGTTATTATTATTATTATTATTATTATTTAGTTATATAAGGTAAAACAAATCAATTACAACATTTGACACTAAATGCTTAACACTTAACATTTAACATTTAACACTTGATGCTTGATGTTTGACACTTAATATTTGATACCTGACATTTGATGCTTTGCTTTAATAATTATTAAGCTTTGATGCTTAGCTTTAACAATTGTTAACAGATATATAAACTTCAAGAATTTTCCTAAGTCAAGCAAGTCACAGACACCCCTCTCTTTCTATCTTTAATTTAGTAATTCCTGTAAAGTGTAAAAGAATTCTTTAGGAACAAAAACCTAATAGATAGCCTTATTCTTTTAATAAAGTTATTACCTTTATTTATAAACTATATTGATATTCTCCCTCTAGGATAATTCCTATAGGCAAAGTCTATTGCTCCCAAGTTAATAAAGTTATAAACTGTTGTATTGTCTTAACCGAACTGCCTAGAAAAGGGTATAGTTGCTAAATAGTTAAAGCTACTATACTTTTCTCTTGAACACTGTTATAAATCTGTAAAGGATTTCTGTAGCTGTATCATTGTTATAGTAAGGAGTTAAAAAAGGCCTTTCTACTATAACATTTGGTGCCTTCTGGTAGAAAACAAAAATAAAAAGCCAGTTTGATTCCTAGCTGCTGAATAATTTTTCACCAAACATATTTATTTCGGAAGATAGCTGTTATATAATTTTTTACTGAACATAACCTGTCTCAAAAGATAGCTGCTATATTAATTTTCATCAAACATAACTGTCTTGAAAGATAGCTGCTATATTCTTCTAGAGTTAGAACACTTTTCTTTGATTACTCTCTTAGACAAAAGAGAACTTTTCTTTTATAGTTCATACTGCTGCTAAACTTCACAATAAAAATATACAAAGTCACCAAAATGCCTATTTAACTGAAACTCATCTTGCTGTAAATGTGCTTCAAGCAACCAATCCAGATCTATCTTGTCTTCAGTGTTATTGGCCTACTCACACTAGTCCTTACTTACTTTTTGGAAAATTTTGAACTTGGTATAGAACTAACTTCCATGTTAAGTATTATATTTCTAAAACTCAGAAAAACTTTGCTCTTCTTATCAACTATCCCAATCGAATCGCATTTTGTCTTTGTGTTTAAGATATTATTTTTAGTTGCTGTTATCAATCTAATACTTTTAATCTAAGAAAAATTGCCTTAGCCTTAGTTCAAAAATATATCCAGTTCTTACAAGTTTCTACCTTAACTTTTGAACACCAAAATGCTTTTAATCTTCATATCGACATACTCTAAAGTTTTAGTTTTGAAGAACCTGATCAATTTAGTCAACACTTAGAAGATCTAGGAAGCCCTATTCTACCTCCAACTGAAGAATATAATATAACCCTTACTGCTGATATTCCACTCTTAACTGACCCAGCAGATAGCCTATCCCCTTATAGTAAAATAGCTACATCTACTAAACACTCTGCTAGTTATTATATTCCTTTTGATTCACCTCTTTAATAGCCTCTTTTAATCAATTTTCCAATACCTCCTTTACTTATTACTGATAATATTAAGACTGAAAAATATATTACTACTTCTGTGAATCTTA